ATTTATTCTCTTTCACTTAGAAAAAATCTTAGTCCTCACCGAGAAGGGGTAGCATTGGTCTCATGCAGCTAGTCCCAATTCCCGTAAGTTCAACTCAAATTACAGAGACATAAATGAAACTGTGGATGTTTAGCAACTCCAGTTTAGTTTTTTGGGAACAAACCTTGACAGTATCGTCTAATGGCTGCATTGTGTAATTGATCATTTCGCAAAATGGTTTACGTTATCTTAACCTGAATGATTACGTCAGTCCCCCAACATGGTGAGTTGGATTAACAACAAGCTTGTCTAAACAGCAAACCACATAGAGTTTGATGTGAATATATGATAGGGNAGGCCTAGAAATGAAACTTTGAATGTGGAAGCCCGAGACTGATAATGTGAGTCAAATAACAGAGAAACATAATTCGCAAACAGACGGCATGCTCTTATTTGTAATTACAGAACGATACCAAAACTGCGCGTAAGGTTACAACAAATCATTGCTTGGTTTGACCTCATCGATTGACTAATTTTGAATATCAGCCGTGCAAATGTTCGCATGTGCAAGTACGTTGCGTCCTATTGCCTTGAAAACTGGGTCTTGATTCAAGTGACATATATGTCTGAAGGAACTTGGGAGAACAGTTCTAGTGAAACACTTAATGGATACAGTAGGAGGAAAGTAATTCAACAATAATGTGAATTAGAGAAAACAATTATGTTGAGGATGGCTGTTCATCGAATGATTACAGTTCACTTGGTGAGCCGTCCTGTTGGCAGTGTCTGGGGTAGCAAAGCCAAATTAGATTGATACAGCTAGTACAACAAGTTATTAACAGCTGAGTGAATTGAACCATTCAGTATACATGAGCAACAAAACAATTATTAGTTTATAAAAATTTTGTTGAAAACATGGAGGACGGTAATCGTATGTTTAAAGAATCTCGATTGGCAAATATCTGAAATCCATGAACGCTGATCGGGACTAGGAAATCCATTTATTTTGACAGTGTTCATTCCTGACCAGTAACTTTGTACACAGTTGAAACTGAACCAACTTTTGAATAATTTCGTTATTTTAAAATGTTCAAAGAAAGCCACGCGGACATACCCACAGTTGAAACTTATTTTCGGCTAATGATATATAATCAAAAAGTCATACCACAGTTGTGATCAGTATCTGTATTACCAGCAGTTCAGTTGAATGTGGATTGAATACCAGTACCGCAACGAGGTATGTCATTGGCTGTAAGATCATTCTGTAAATAATAATAACAAATAGATAAATTTTCAAGGAAAGAAATGTGAACAATAATAGTGGGGAACTTAGGCGATGGTAATCAGATTAGATC